CACCAAATCCCACCAATCTCTGAGCTTGCCCCAAGATCAGGTCACATAATTCCTCCAATCCCAGGCTACCTGGAAAGTTCTGTTATATACCACCCCCGCCCACCCACCAGAAACCCTATATAAACCCTGTCTTCTCAATTCTCTGCTGCTTCTCACTGATCAGAGACAGCCACCCTCCTGGGCTCCCCGCTCCCAATAAATCTGTGTGAGGTTTGTTTGTGCTATGACTTTGTGGTAGTCCTTGGCTCCTGACTGCCAGGATACCTTTCCTTCTAGAGATGTAACATTTGTACTGGGAAACCTCCCCTGGCTGGGGCACAGCTGTAACATTTGCATTGGGAAACCTTGCCCTTCAGAGCTGTAACCCATCCATTGGGGAAGCCTTTCGCCTTAGAACTGTAACTACATCCCAGAAATAAAACAAAACACACCTGCAAAAGTCTGTCACAGCCAAGCCTTATGTCCCTGTGGGACAAAGGTTGTCTGTGTCTCTCCAAATATCTCATGTCAAATGTCTCTCCAAAGGCCTATGTCTCTCCAAATGTCCAAAATCCAAAACATAACGACTTCCTGTTTAAGTTGGAAGCTTCAGCTCCAGCCTCACTCTCCCCCACTCCAAACCCGGCCCCCTCTTAGAAAGCCGGCCAAGAAGCTGCTCCTCTCCTGGAGCTGCTTAAGACCAAGCCTACAGGATATTTACACTGCCTCCTAGAGAACGGACACGGACATGTGGTTTTTTTCTGGTCTCCTCTCCTGGGTTCATCTCTGGGGACGGGGAAAATCATCTGGTATGTTTTGCCCATTAAATTTGGTCTTTTGCTCTTAATTTGGCTTGATTCGGTTTACTGTATTGGTGGACAGACTTAATATCAGGGTACAGAAACCCTTCGTCTTGGTGAGTTGGCCAGGAGGAATTGAGTTTTCCCCATCAGCCTTCGGCCACATGGGAAAACCACTCCTCTCCTTCTACATTTGTTTATGCTGCCTTGTTAACGATGTAAAGATGTGATACATTTGTTTCACCTTGCCTGCCTAAGGCACCTGATTGATCTAATAAAAAGCGGAACGGCCAATAGCTAGGCAGGAGAAGGATAGGTGGGGCTGGTGGGCAGAGAGAATAAACGGGGAGAATGAGGGAAGAAGCAGGACATGCCCAGGGCCAGAAACCAGGCAGTGCCAGCCAGACAGGAGAAGCCGTGAAACTAAGATCTACAGAAAGAAAGAAAGGTAAAAAGCCCTGAGGCAAGATGTAGATGAAGAGAAACAGGTTCAGTGACAAGAGCTAGCAAGACAGGAGCCTAAGCTAAGGCTGAGCATTCCTAACTAATAATAAGTCTCCTGTCATGATTTGAGAGCTGGTTGCTGGCCTAAAAGAAAGCCTCCTATAGTAGCCGAGTGAACAGATTGGAGACTTAGATATTAAATTACCCCCAAGGGTAGGGTTAGAGGTATTTGGGGGACTTCCTGACTTCAGAAGTCACTAATCAGATTATCTGTGAAACTCGTAATACATAGCTTACTCCAGGCTCACAATACATGCCTACAGTCCCAGCCACCTGGAGGGCTGATTCAAAGATCAAGAGCCCATGAACTAACTGATCTTTTCTCAAAGCAAACAAACAATTCCCACACAGACATATGCTGTGGAATAATCCTTCTATACACTGTGTGAATATATGTCATTATGATTGGTTTAATAAACAAACTGACTAGCCAATAGCTGGACAGCATAAAGTTAGGCAGGAAAACCAAACTGAGAATGATGGGATGAGGAAGCACAGAGTCAGAGGAGTCACCACCAGCAGACACAGAGGGAGCAGGAGATGGACGTGCCATGCTAATAAAGATGCTGCTATGTGGCAGAGCATAAATAAGGAATATGGGTTAACTTAAAATGTAAGAGCCAGTTAGTAGTAAGCCTGAGCTATCAGCCAAGCATTTATAATTCATATTAAGTCTCCATGTTGGTTATTTGGGAGCAGGCAGTTGGGACAGGGTGGTTGGGACAGGAATACTCCACCTACAGATAGATATATGTGTACATGCTCATGAGTACATATGTATCACTTGTTTAACCTCCAGAAGTAGAGACTTGTTAGTAAGCAAGTAACTAAAGAGGGAACACAGAGTCCCAGAATGCCAAAATTTTATTATTATAAGTGAAATTAGGCAGCTATGTTTGTTAGCTAGAAAAAAATGAAAGGTAGGATTCTGCCCTCCATAGAGTTTTTATTCTCTAGATGGCTGGAGAATGGCTTCCAGGCCCTTGAGAAATTTGGAGCTATACAAGACATGTATTTACAATGACAGTCCTTCTTTTAACAGATACCAGCATTCTGTCTGTCCTGTGAGTCCATTCTGTTGGTGAGTAAACAACATGTGCCCATCACCATATTGCCATGAGAATGGTTTTATTGCCCTAAAACTATGTGTGCTCCACTTATCCTTGCCTTTCGCTCCCTCTCAAGCATGTTACCCACTGAGCCATCTCTCCCGCCATCTCCCTGTGTTGTGAGCACCCACAAAGGACCACAGCCTGAAGGTAGTCCAGCATCACATGCGGTAGCTAGCTCACCAGACTGTAGGAGGAAGTATTCTAGCAAGCGAGCAGGAATCTTAGCTGTTGAGACCAGGCCCATCCAAGGCATTCTCAGAGGTTCTGATGAGAAGACAAAAGGAAGCCAGCTCTGTCCTTGCGAGGGGGGGGGGAATGGGAGTAAGGGGGAGACGAACTTGACAAGGCCCATTTTGGGGTTGGGGCCCCAAGGAGTTACAGTTTTACTTTCCGGGAACTTGGCTTTTTCCCTTGGTGAGGCTGGATTCTCAGTCTAAGGCTGTTGTGTGCTCCGTCTGTGACACACTTGATGGCCTGCTCCCCTTGGGCAACATCACCTGGTTAGCTTCCTGCTGATGGTTCCACCATGGTAGATGTCTGCTGACTTCCTCCCATTTCTCCCCTAAAAACTGTATACAAGATGGTGGTCCGCTTCTAATATCATCAGTTTGAGCAGGACCCTCTGTCCCGAGTTGCCTATTTTCTTTGTCTTCTTATCCCCAACCCTCCACCTTAGGACCCTGTCACTCAAGAATGACCTGCGGGTCCAGGTCACTTAGTGGCCTTTTATGATGCAGACTCTGAAGCCACACAGGACCATGTCTGCTCAGCACAGTCTCGAACATGCACAGACTTGAAAGAGGGTACATATGAGTCCAGCTCTTGGTAAGAAAATGGCCAAGAATTTAGAGCTGTGATATGAAATGATTATAAGTGACTAATTGTGATGTGTTAAGGATCATTTTCTTTGTATTTATCCTGGAGAGGGTTATTGTGTTCCAAATACGGGGCTCGATGTCTTTGACATGAAGCTGACAGATACTGTCTCTGCCAGTACATGTGTACAATGCTGCCCAGCCCTGATGGGCAGGGAAGTCGGAAATAATCCCCTTGGATTGTCAGTGTGGTTTCCCAAGATCTGATTTAGAGCCTCAGAGTGGGACAGAAAAGAGAGCACACTCAATTATCTTTGGAGCAGAGTTCCCTTAACTGTCCCCCACACAGAGGCCCCAACCTCATCTTCTCAAAGGATCCCTCTGGTTTACAGTATGAAAAGGCCAAGGCTCTGGCAAACACTCTACCCTGTTGCCAATAGTTGGAGCATTAGATGACTATTCTCTCACTGTGACAAAACAGTCACTGCCTTTGTTAGGATTAAGATTGCTGTGATAAAACACCATGACCAAAGCAACTTGGGGAGGAAAGGGTTTATTTAGCTCACATTTCCACATCATAGTCCATCATCATCGAAGGAAGTCAGGACAGGAACTCAAACAGGGCGGGAACCTGGAGACAGGAGCTGAGGCAGAGGCCATGGAGGGGTGCTGCTTACTGGCTTGCTCCCCATGGCTTGTTCAGCCTGCTTTCTTGTTGAACCCAAGACCACCAAGCCAGAGATGGTACCACTCATAATGAGCTGGGCCCTCACCCATGGGTCACTAATTAAGAAAATGCCCTACAGCTGGATCTTGTGGAGGCATTTTCTCAATTGAGGTTCCCTCCTTTCAGATGATTCTAGCTTGTGTCAAGTTGACATAAAACTAGCCAGGACAGTCACTGTCTTTAAAACTGAACTATGAATGCCATGCTTGGTGGTGCATGCCTTTAGTTCCAGCACTCACGAGGCAAAAGCTGGACAGTCTCCATGAGTTTGAGACCAGCTTCCTCTACATAGCAAGTGCCAGGCCAGCCAGAGCCACACAGTGAGGTCCTGTCTCAAAAATCAGTACAACGAAGCAAAAACAACTGAACCACCACCCAAACCCTAAACTGAGAAGAAATCATAAATTTTACTAAGGGGTTGCTTTTTTTATTTGTTTGTTTTTAGAGACAGGGTTTCTCTGTGTAGCTTTGTTCCTTTCCTGGATCTCGCTCTGTAGACCAGGCTGGCCTCGAACTCAAAGAGATCCATCTGCCTCTGCCTTCTGAGTGCTGGGATTAAAGGTGGGTATCACCACCACCCAGCAGGGTTGCTTTTTTACAAAGAACTTTATTCATTGTATCATATGTATCTGAATCTTTCACAAGCACATGTTATGTTAGTAAAATACTGTATTGACTAAAAACTTGAGTCAAGTGACCTAGTAATGTCCCAAGGATGAATTTAATGGCATCCAGCAGAAACACTGATCCACACAAAGTTAATGAACATCAAAATTTGACCTTGAATCTACCATGTCAGCGACAGACAAATGCACTACAATCTAGAGAAAGCTCTGCCCTGGGTATTGTCCAGGTGTTTGCCAAAGAAGGACAGAATTTGCTTCCATGCATCTACCTGGGCTTTAGAGTGAGCCCTGACCTCCCCTCCCCAAATCACAGGTTTGTTCACTATTTTGTGCAGAGAAGCCGGGCACATCGGAAAGTAGGGAGGCTCAATGTAATGCCCAGCCCCAGGGTAAGAGATCACCCGGGGCCTGTCCTTTCCATGAGCCTGTAACCGTTCCGAGGCTATCTGGACATACATCTCACTCCTCCAGCAGTGATCGTCCTGACCAGCAATGAAGAGGATGGGCCCCTTGGCCTTCTCTATTGGAATCATACTGGGGTTCTCACAGCCTCCTACAATGTCATTCCGTATATCCACAATGTCCAGAACGCCAGAGAAAGCAACCTTCGCCCTCCTCAGGTCATGGCCCAATGGTGGGATCATAGTCTGCTTGTAGTGTATGTGTCTGTTTGCACTGAACGCAGAGCCGTTGATGGAAACTGTGGCTGAGACGTTCTCCAAGAAGGAAGCCATGGAGAGGCAAATATCAGCTCCTAGGGAAAGACCCAGAAGCCCAATGTCTGGGCCCTTTACCTAGAAAAAAAGAAGACGTAAGAGTCAAAAATGTATTCAGCTAGGTGTGATGGAACATGTACTGGGACGGTGGAGGCAGAAGGATCAGGAGTTCAAAGTCAGTCGGCTATGTAGAGAGTTCAAGGCCAGGCTAAGCAATCTCAAAGAACCAAAGAAGAGAGAGTGCTTGCTGCCAAATCTGATGACCCAAGTTCAATTCCTAGGACTACAGGGTCAAAGATGAGAACTGACTCTTCCAAGAACCGACTCCACCTGTGTGCTGTGGAACATGCACACCCCAACAAGATTCCTAAAAGAGAACTTACCAAACACCCAAAAATGAAACTAGAAGGCCTAGAGAGATGCTCAGTGGTCAAGAGCACTGGTTGTTCTTCCAAAGGATCCTGGCTCGATTCCCAGCACCCACATGGCAGCTCACAACTGTCCATGAGTCCAGTTCCAGGGGATCTGGTGCCCTCTCCTGGCCTCTGTGATCACCACAGGCCTGTGGTGATCACAGACACAAATGCAGGCCATACACCCTGCACTTAAAAAAATAAATCTTTTTTCACATAAAATATGAATCTCTTTTTTTCTAATGCAACTGGAAAGACGGTTAGCTCCACTCTCCAAACCAGCTCACAGGGGAGCTCTTTTTCTTTTTAAAATACTAATTCCCTTTAAGATAGAAGTTTGTTATATGTCCAGGCTGGCCTTAAATTCTCAGTCCTCTTGCCTCAGCCTCCTGAATGCTAGGAGTTCAGTCGATGCCACCATGAGGGCATGAGTGTCTTTCTAAACACTGAAACTCTGCTAAATACATGGCAAACAAACCTATGCCGTCACATTTAGGAATTGGTCCTAAGTGCCGAGCCGTGGGAGCCTGTCAAGTTCAAGACCTCATTCACAGTGAGCCTGCACCCAGCCTTTCCTTGGCTGTGTATTGAATCATGTGGATGAAGCTCTGGCCCAGGATCTGAATCTTATATCCAACTCCATCCAAGTAATACTGGGAAATAATTAACTTCACATAAAACATAGACTTCAAAGTCCAGCTTAGTAGTTCTTAACCTCTGAAAAGGGTGGCCAAGTTGTGACTACATTGGAGAGGAAAAGTAAAAGTTATAAAGCCAGCATTCTAAGACAACAGTGAGAAGCCTAATCTTCATGGCAAGGGGAGTTTTACTATTATGAAATGAAATTTCACATGACTTTTTTTTTTTTTAAGAAATCCACACCAGGAAGCCGTGTGATGGAGAAAGGGGAAATGTTCCATACTCAAAGTCAAGGAAGTCTCCCAAAGAAACTTCCTCCATGAACAAAGGACAGAGCAGCCTCAGCACACCTGCTACAGGTGACCACCTCTTGATGTTCCCAGGGAGAGTGGTTAATAAAGGGTGAGAGGAGAACCTGGGGGTGTTGAAGCATGTAGCACACCGCTTCTTCAAAGTAGTCCACTTCTATGATGTTGAAATCCTTCGGGAGATCGTCAAAGTCATAAAAAGCCAGAGCCAACGTAGCAAAGCCATGGCCAGCCATAAGGCTGGCTCGGTATTCCAACAGGCCCCCTCCAACACCGTAGACATCGATGATCCCTGGAAAGGGTCCTTCTCCTACACGGGGGAAAATGACAAGACAAAAGCATCGTGCAATTCAAAGAATTTGTTTTCTCTTTCAGAAACCTTTCTAAATTGTTTAGTTGGTTTCTATGAATCCAATAAAACAGATCTGTGCGTTACTACTGAATGAGAACACACACAGGAGCGTATAGAGTGAGAAAAATCTAAGCAGTCTCATGGATGATTTCATCCTCTTAGAGAATTCCAACTATGGCCCAAGAGCCACAAGAGGACAGTTATGAATGTGGCCCAACACACACTCATCAATTTACAGGGAATACTGAAAGGTGAGCCTTTTGTGTGTGGTTTCTGTTTGTAGATCAATTGTACAGTTCTAGAGGATTAATGCTATAAATAACACCATTCAAGAGGTTGGACATTTCTTGTGGAATATTTGTTCAACAATGTAAAGATGTGTTGCATTTGTTTAACTATGTAAAGATGTGTTGCATTTGTTTAATTATGTAAAGATGTGTTGCTGTTTTACCTTGCCTGTCTAAGGCACCGGATTGGTCTTAAAAAGCTGAACAGCCAATAGCAAGGAAGGAGATATAGGTGGAATTTCTGGGCCGGAGGAATAAGTAGGAGGAGGAATTTAGGCTTGAGTAGGAAGAAAGAAAAGGAGATGATAGGGAGATGACAGGGGCCAGCCAGCCAGCCAGGGAAGAAGCAGGAAAGTAGGATATACAGAATGAAAGGTAAAAAGCCCCAAGGCAAAATGTAGATGACTAGAAACAGGCTAAACTAAGTTAAGAGAGCTAGTGGGACAAGCCTAAGCTAAGGCCGAGCATTCATAATTAATAATACGTCTGTGTCTTTATTTGGGAGCTGGTTGGTGGTCCAAAGAAAATTCCAACAACAGACATGTTTTAAGAATCTGTGATAAGCTATTTGCATAATTCTACAAATCAGTTGTTGTTATAAGGGAAAGTGCTAAATCTTTGGGTAAGGGGTACATTTTGGAAGGAGGACTGGCAAGATTGGAAGGAGGCTGACTCTCCACATGTAGCGCTCTGCTGGAGGGCTGCAGGGAGTGAGAAGTGGGGCTGGAGAGACGCATCCCACAGTGGTTGGGTCTCCTCCCTGTGCCTGCAGAAGACTGGAGTTCATTTCCCTGCACCCAGGACGGGGGGGCTTGCAAGCGCCTGTAACCCCCGCTCAAGGGGATCTGATACCCTCTTCTGACCCCCATGAGCATCAGCACACACAAAGCATACACTGTGAGCAAACAAAATAAAGTTAAATTTAAAGCATTAAGACAAAAAACAAAACAAAACAAAAAACAAACAAAAAAACTGATGCAAAGCTGGATTCCTGTGGCATTAACCCGAGTGTGTGTGTATAAACACTCGAGTTTGCCTGTGTGTTGACGGGGGAAAAAAGAGCTGATTCTTGGTAAGGAAGGCACTAAGGTCTGATCTGTGGTGGGGATGGACATGAAGAAGTGGGGAAGGACGAGAGAGAAAGGCAATGTGGCAGTCTCCTTTCCTATCATTTTTCCTAACCATTCGGCCTGGGGACATCTATGGGGTAGTGAACTGAAGAACGTCCTAGGAAGTCCAGCCCTGCTAGAGACACGGGCCTTGGGCTCAAGCTCATCTACACCCAACTCACCTGGGGGCAGGAAGAGCGTGGCGCGCACTCGGCCCTCGCGCACGGGCACGCGCCGCACCCCGGGAGCCATGAAGTGACGCTCGTGCACCGCCCGCGCCAGCAGCCGCCCGCCGTCGGGCTCGTGGCCGTCCAGCACCTCCAGCTCCACCACGAAGGGC